ATTTGCGTGCACAGTTCCTATGTAAATTTTTCCCTCATTCGAGTTATAAATTTTGCCACCAGATGGTGTATGCCCATTTGACGGATCCCAATACCCGAATGTTTCATTGAGTTTTTTATTAAATAAATACCATTAATGTTTTCGCCCCAGTAATTTTGAAACCTGATTACTACGGGCACGTGTATCGCCCACTTCTAATGAGGGTATTAATAACGTAAGACTGAAGTGAAATAGATTTTATTCTATTTTATTTTAGAAATTCATCTATTGAATTGATATATCCCATTTGCTTATTGACAATTTACCTATAGGATAAATTTTGAAATATGACGTATGAGTTTCCATGTTTAGATGGAACGTACGAACCAATCGTATCATTAGAAATAATAATAGACCAATGCTGTATCATTGGGCGAGTAAAATTATTCATTTGAAACTTTTATGTTGATCATGTTTGATTTTTTTACAAATCTTACTTGCTGTATATTATGCATTAAGCCTATAATTTTAATACTTCATTAGTTCTTATTCTGGTACGTTCTAATTGATTTCAAATTAATAATTAAGGTAATGTTCATACTCCAACATTCCAAGTCGAACTGAGGAGTGGTACATTTCACTTGAGGCGGAACTTAAGCGCGGAGTTCTCTGGCTTAAATGCAGACTCCTTGCATTGTGCCGTTTGGTTCATATTTTGTATGCTGATAGAAAAGAGTATACATTTGCTATAATAAAGCATTAAATACAAACCGTCAGATACGACGTTGTTGCCCAGTTAAGGAACCTGTTACATGCTTGACCAAAGACGAAGATAATAATTCATTTGATGTACTACTCAGCACAACACGGCCGGTAAAAGACGATTTTGCACATGGACATGAGCGTCGCCTGTGACGTAGATAGGTACATTTAATTGTTAGATTAATAAATGTCAGTTATAACGTCGTAAAAATGCATAAATATATATATATANTACACACTAACTGCCCCTGACCGATAAAAAATTGTATTAAACTATAAAAGAAAATTTTATTAAACTTTTCCTAATATTTCTTAATTTGCCCCATCGACATGCAAAACTTCGATGTTTATTAATTTTAAAACACGGGAAACCTAAACTAACCATAATCTAACCATCAAAACGTTTCTTTTTTAAGTTTACCTAGGGATCCATTAAAAGTTAGGTTATGATTGGCTTAGGTTGCCTTCTTTCTCTCCAATTACAAAGTTAAAAGTAGTGGGAAAAGATACTTTGATAACGTATTTCCTTGTTTCGATGAAATGTTTCATTAAAATTCTTGAACAATCAATTTATTAAACCTAAAAGATACAGTTGGGCGAAAAATCGTACGAAGAGCAATTTTTTAATTTATTACGCCTTAAAAAAAGTCGATTTGACAGAAGTAAAAATTTCCCCTCGCCTTAATAGATTTCACTTCTAAATTCATTCCTGTTATTAAAATGTAAGTGTTATACTCAATCGGTACCCATCTGTCCTTTGGTCTTATTAAAAAAAAATTGGCTATTAAAATAACAAAGGCAATAGATGTATAACATTATTAATTAATATTGTCTATGAAAAAGCGGGTATATATGTTTATAATTAATACTTACAATTGCTTGCTCTGCTCTGTTTCTTCAAACTTTTGTTGAGTCAACAATTGTTTCAATTGTTCAAAAACTTCACTATTGTCTCCCTCTGAAAACCTAAGTCTGTCTTTTATTAAGCTTATTAATTTATTATCTGATACTTCAGTTTCATTATAGTGACTAAACATATTAACCAGTTTTTCATTTTGAATAGCTTTATCTAAAGCATCTTCATGTTGCGTATTCTATAACGAAATAGTAAAAGATTATTACTAACAAAAAAATTATCCAATATTTATATAATAATGTATAGTAAAATACAAGTGGTTTGGAGTGGAGAGTTCCTTTAAATGGGTTCGGAAATATTTTAATCATTAATCTCCTTTTATTGGTGTTAAAGATCTTGTTATTTTTTATACCTTTTCTCTTAAAATTCTTTTTTAAGTCATGATCATGATCATGATTTCGAACATATTAGCCCTCATCAGCTTGCCACAGGCAGTTTCAATAAATTACCGAGTAAATCGAAGCGGTTAAAGGCGGACACATTATTAAAACGCGACGCGACCCGATGAAACGCGATGCGTGTTTAGTCGAATCAAATGTATTGTTTTCTATAGACCAGAATCACACTATGAACATCTGACGCGACGCCATGCGTGCACACGCCACCTGATCCAGACGTTCTAGGTCGGTGTGTTGCCCATGGTGGGGGTAAACACGCCATTCGACGCGGCGAATGTGGTATGTTTCTAGACAACACCCAACGCCAAGCGTGAGTCGTTCGAGAACTGTTACAAAGCATATATACATTCTTTGACCTCATCTCTATTCTTCAAACTGTCAAACGGAATTTATGCCAATTTAATATTATTTTTTATACACATTTATTTCATGTACCCAGTACCGCCTAGTAATTCTCTTTTTCTTGAGTCGTCTAAGTATCATATATGTACCCAAAATTTGCATCAAATCTTCTTCAAAGTCTTCTGACTCGTTATTTATTAAATCCATAGTAAATAACCATACACTTCCAATGCTGTTAGCTAACTGTATTCAGAAATTGCTAGTATGTCGTGGAGTCGCGTGTTGGTAATGTGCACGGTGCATATCGGGTGTCGTCACGTTGCGTCACGTCGCGTTTTAATAATGTGTTTCCGCCTTAAATGTAAGGTATAAGCAGTATATCGCCATAAACTGATATTTGCTGCGTCGCAAATTCAGTTTGACAGGTTTATACCACAGTTAGCAGTAAATGTCTTAACGGTGATGTACTGCGCATTCCTTGATAGATGGTAAGCTTGTGATCGCGGATTCAACATTGAGAATGATATGCTTTATTTTGTCGTCACTCATTGTCTTTAGTAGTAAATATTTTAAAAAATTATGTTATTAAGTAAAAAAGGAAAATCAATTTTAATGTTAACCAAAGAAACTAAAAGAAAAATAAACAGAAGGCATCAAAACTACCTTCTGAGAATACCAACAAACTAAAACTGTACGTAAACACACTTACTGACAACCGCCTCGAAGTGTAAAACATACAGAGTGCTTCTGAAATAAATTGCAAGCTGGAAGATGATAGGGTACTATAAAACAATAAAATTAAGCAGATGTTTGGTGTTTCGAAGGTTCACTGTTTTCGGGAAAAAGTATTTGAAAGTGCAGGCAGGGTTTAATTAGGCCCTGGTAGGATCACGCAGGGTAATACGACAATGCAACGTCGCATTCAATTTGTTGGTAATTAGTAGCGTCCGTGTTGTATTTCTTTTGTATTTTTGTACTCATGCATTGTTTGCTATTCGTTGGACATCGAATATAGTTGACGTACAATCAGCCTAGAGTAGTACTTTGCTTTTTTAGTGTTACATGCTTGTATAAATGTAGTTAGCACGAAGTCATTGGCATGTTACTAGAATACTGTGGTAGAATTTTACGGTGATTGATATCCCCAGCGAAGACTTACTCATCGGCAGACTGTCTTAAATGCTGTACAGAATAAAGAGAAACAGACAATGACACCTTACATATAAGTGCCATAGGTGTAAATGCCGAGTCATATCATCAATGTAGAAGAGGTTTCGGTTTCATAGAAGACAACAGTCATAATAGTACACGCGAAATATCGCGGAATCTTGACTCTTCATGTTACAGTGTGGCAAATTTAAAGAAATCCTTATCACTTGCAGCAAACTGATTTTTAGTTGCGAATGGATTTGTGTAAGTGGTTTCAGCAGAAAAATGCTGCAGACCCTAATTATTCCAGATGGTTTGAATAATCCCAATACTCATAATTAGTGTGACGCAAATCTGCATGTTGTCTATCCTTCGCGATTTCAACAACGTTTTTCGTTAAATGTATGATGCGGTGTTTTTGAAGGTTCGCTGTTCGAATAATTCTTTCTAGCGTTTAAATGGGGTGATGCACTTACTTTTTTATAATAAACTTTACCGAATGTACTTGATGATATACCGTATTGTATATTTTTTAGCATGAAAGTGCATCCCCTTACATCGCAAGACCAGTGGGTAAATTTCTAGACAAACAGCTTCTTAAACGCTGAATTGAACGTACGAGTATGTACCTTGGCTGGGGCGTAATTCTATTTAACTTTGCTTGACTTCTTTGTATGAGATTGTATGAAACAGCGCGTGTATCACATCGCGCGTATCAAACGCCAATATACACCACTAGTGAGGTGTGTAACTATATGATGATCGCTGCAAATGAAATATGTCAAATGCCGTACATCACTGCGTGACTTAGAAATAATTTTAGTAGATGCCTCAAAGCCTGATGAATTTCGGACAATTTTTGTAGTGTACCTATTTTTTTTCTAATGGTAGAGTAGGATTATTAGCAAACCAGCCGTAAAAAGAGCTAGCACACCTTGGCAATGCCTCAATGGTAATTTGAAAATTTACCTTACGATAATTTAGTTATTAATGTTTACGTAACGTTACTATATTCTTTTGTGTTCGAAGTGTACTTTAAATAGTGCCACGTGCTATCAGCGATGAACGAAATTGTTATTTAATTAATCTTTATTGTAATGGGCGTTTAAACATTATTATGTGTTGTAGCGTAGTAGTAAGCTGTTGATATTTACTGCGTTAGTCGTTCCAAACCGCCACTGTTTACATTATCCATGAATGTATCTGCTCAGTTGTTATCAAACGTTACCAATTCACGTCCAGAACTGGCTCCTGATCATAACTTGTCGTTTTCTTATAATTTCTTTTGTCCCTTAACAACGCTACTTTACTAACCAAGAGATTCCCTGTTACATCTAGTTAACACCCTCCAAAGCTTGCTACTTATTTCAGAAACACCCAGTAAAGCAAATACTGCAAAAACTACCTGACTACTATCTTCCACTTCCATATTTTCTTTGCTATCTTCCGCAATAACTACTTCCAGTACTTCTTCATTTTTTTTACTGTCTTCTCTTATATTTTCGCTTTGTTCCTTTTCTTTCGAAAAGCTAAAACAAATATGTAATGTCGTACTGAAGATTACAACAGTCGGGTTTTTGTTACTTACGACAAATTCTCGTGAGTTGTAGACAAGTCTGGAGTTGACCAACTAAGTAAACTTAAACGGGATAAATTTAAAGTTTTCTCCGACTTCCTTAGTTCTGCAGCTTCAGCAGGGTCATTGAACCTATATAGGTGATAAGGTGGTTTATTTAATATCAACAATAGAATGTTTACTTTCAGTAGAACTTGCGCAGGGGAAATTATGAGAATAATGCTTTACATATATTTCGACTTTGCAAGTCTTAGAATAAAACATAAATAACATAAATAACTGAATTATTTAAAAGCACTTTGTGTATTTAATTTAAATACTTTTTAAATAGCATCTTTGTCTGTTACCTAAAAACATGAGCTTTTCCCAAAAAAATTATGCAACCTTGAGTAAGACGAGTAGGTAAATCTATAAGTACACTGTTCAGACAAACACTTGCTCCTGGTTTAGGGTGCAATGTAGCTATACCATTTTCAAAAATTATACTACAGTGTTGCGCTTCCATACCTGGTCCTCTAAGAACAATATCTTGTTTTAAATGTGATTCTTCGGTGCCTATCGTTGTTTCGCCTTCCTGAAAACGTTTTAACGTGATTTACAATCAAATGAAGCAAATTTATTTATCTGAGCTAATTGTAATGTTTTTATCAGTAATGTAGAAAATACTTTACTAACAAAAAATTAACAATCGTAAATAATCCTGTTATCGGCCGGAACGTCAGCATGATCAGTGTAATAACACTTAAAATGTGGTAGGGAGAGTCCGTTCACTTAGAGAAAAGTACATAATGGCAGATAGATATGCGCGAAATACATAATGGGTGTAACTGCTAGAAGTTATTTGCGGCGCAAGTATGGGTTTCGATCGGAAAGAACTGTGCGCGTCGCTACCATCGTATCTTTCACTAAATGAACAGAAACATGAAAATTAAGTAAATGTTTGCATGTCCAAAAGTCCACTGTTTTGGAGAAAAATTCAGTTGAAAGTACAGATAAATTCAATTCCAACTCTGGTATAGCAATACGACAAACCAACGTCGCGTTAAGTCAGCTGGGAATTACCACCATCGGTGTTGTATTCCTTTTGTACTCTTTTTTTGCTCATGAATTGTTTGTTATTTGTCAGATTACATTAAATGTGATGCACCGCGTTTACGGCCCGCCTGTAAAAGTTATTTGCCCGTTTAACGATGTCAATCGTTCATTCGCAATGTTAATACAATGGCATTTAGTACGGCACAATATTGTGAAGTGATTGTAACGTATGGCGAATGTGAATACAACATTAATGCAGCAATCAAGTTGTATAACCATCGATAAACTTAGCGAAGACTTCCATATCTGCGAACCATCTTAAATGCAGTAGATTGCGAGAAACCGGTAATGTACACCCTACATTTGAGGGTCATGGGCGTCAACGTCCGAAACATATCGCCGTTGTAAAAGACAAAATCCTAGAGTTCATAGAAGACAACCCCCAAACGAAACAGCACGGAATGTTGACTTTTCTCATATGACAGTGTAGCGAATTTTAAAATAGCAGTTTTTATATCCTTATCATTTGCAGCGAGTGCAAAAAAGTGCTGCTTTTTGGAGATTCGCTGTTCGTACTATTAATTCTACCCATACGTTTAAATAGCGCCACGTGTTCGACCTTTTTATAAGAGATTATACCGAATGCATTTGAGAATGTACTGTTGCAACTATGTGAATGTATGTTTCTTTTAATATAATGGTGCACTCCCTCACATTGCAAAACCAGTTCATGAGTTTGTTGAACGGTGGATTAGATGTGTGAGCCCTGTACCTTAGCTGAGGATTGGATGTCTGGCCTTAGCCGGAGCGTACTCCGGATCTAAATCCGCTGAACTTCTTTGTATAGAGTTGTTACGAAACAGCGCGAGTACGAAATCCCAGTTCACAACACTAAAAATTCACTAAATGGTGGACGTTTTTGCGCGACTCTGACAAAATTTTGGTAGATGTCTCAAAGCGTGTCTTCTAGTACTTAGGGGGTTTTAATTTTTACCACTAAGTGGTAAGTTTGCTTACAAGCAAAAGTCAGTAAATATTCAATTTTTATTAGTGGAATGATGTTACTGGCGAGCCACCCTCAAAAAAGATAAGGCGCCTTGTCAATATTTAGTTGGTATGAAAATTTTCCTTGGACTGACGACTTATGCGCAAGTTATATTTGATTATTATTTATTTTAACAGTAATTTAATTTAGAACAAACAGAATACCTCAAAACCCCTACGCCAAAACAAGACACTGTAGTTGTCCGAAGCACTTTTCGGTAACAAAGTTACCTTCTTCAGGGACTGAAGTAAACTAAACCTAAATGAGAACTAATCCTAATTTATACTGATAGTTGTTAAGGTTCAGTGAACATGACCCGA